TAGGAGGAGAAAACGTTTTCATGTTTGGGAGGATTAAAAGGGTACTGACATCATTCAAATCATGAGCCATAATTCTTATTAGATTTTATTGCTACATTCTTCACACAGCTTTGGAAAGTTATTCCTAAGAGCACAAAATATGCACTTAGACTGCACACAGAGAAGGAACATGCTCTCACAATGAAATTATTTTAGGTTGGCCCAATAATACTTGAAAGGCTCAAGACTTATTCTCTATGTAATGTATCTTGGCAAAATAAGTGATGACTTTATATAAATTTGTCTCTTTCAACATCCTTTAAAATTTTCCCTCTAAATAGTTAAATTTGGTTACAAATGATCTAATTTATGTATCTTAAGAAAAAATTTTCCCTTTTGAATATTATAAAAATCTCAGGGTAAAAAATAAATCTGGCATTTAATTTAATTTTTTATAAAAATTTCAGAGTAAAAAGTATTTAAAAATATAATCAAATCTGCCATTTAATGACTACATAAATGAGTCTTATACAAAACTACATAATTGAATCTTATACATCAGATTGTAATATCTGAAAGATTGGTATGCCTGTTAACCAATAACTTCTGGTGGCATGTTAAAAATTTATCTTCAGTTTTATTCTTAATGAATTCATTTTGATTATTTCTGGACCATCCCAATTTCCCATGATGTGATGGAACAAAATTTTAACATTCAAAAATTGAATTAGATCACACAGAAAACGTCAACTGACTCAGATGGTAATAATGAGGTTTGGCTCATTCATTGAAAAGTGAGAGCCCAACTATGTCCAGAATGTACAAAGACAATGCTTGAGATCGGCAAGATGTTTTAAACTCTTTAAATGACCTGAAGGAAGTACTTTTACTTAGATAAGGATTAAAAGGTTCTCTAAATATCCCACTCCTTTACTTTTATTGGAATTAAATCAGTTCAATTTCAGTGCAGTTGCTGATCAAAAGCTCCAATTGACAATCTTAAATGCCTTTGATAATAAAAGAAAACAGTTATTAACCAATGTATTTCAATTTGATATACAAAATCTTTAAAACATGGGATTTCACTGGAAGAAACAATAGAAAGTAATACTAGGAACTTTAAATCCTCCCAGGCAGGAGAGGGTTATAGCTACCTGATCCACTACTAATGGCCATAACAGCATGAAGCACTGCATATATATTATCTAATTTCATTTTCTCACAAATCTAGTAAAGTTATTATTGACAGTTCTAGTCTATAAACAAAGAAATTGAACTTAGACATAAATGGGAAGGAAAGAAATGACCTGAATCTACACAACCCAATATCTGGGATTAAAAAGGTAAGAGGAATAAGCATGGAACCCAGGAACCATGGTTTAAATACTGGATTCCTCAACTTAAACTAAGCCTCTCTGCATTAAATTTCTACATCTTCAAGACAAGCAAAGTGTTCTCTTTCCTGTTTACTTCCCATGACTGGAAAAAAATGCTTGTCAATGATAGAACTGGAAAGATGTAGGATGTTGTTATTATGTTTGGGAGACACTAGACAAACTTTGGGGATGGCTTGGTTTCCAGCTACTATTTGTTGCCACCCCAGACTGCATCCATAGATACAGAAACTGCAAGAGAAAGAATGTTGATAGAAGGTGGAGGGAGTGATCACTTGTCTCCTTCCATGTCTCCGAAGGACACTGGCCTTCTGTCTTTGAGCTGCCTTGTTCCCAGGCCCAGCCAGGCTGCCTGGTTCAAACCCTAATGATCCTAAGAACATCAACCCTGAGGGCAAGCACACAGCTTCTCTTGAAACACTGTGCCAGATGAGTCCACATGGTCTCTCCTCTTCTGACTGGGTGACAGTTTTCTCCTCTTCTTTCAAGGGATGTCAAGGTTTTCAATAAATGTATAACTAAAATACTCCAATGTCCAAGGGTCTACGCAAAAGTAAAGCTGGGTTACCTCATGCCACCTCTCAGGGACCTGAAATTCCTAACTGGCCACAATCTTGACAAGACAGTTTAGAAGATCCACCATTCATAGAATTGTAACATTCAGATCTGGAAAGGAAATTAGTGACCACTTATTCCAATTCAATTACTTAATGATCGCTGGTTTTGTGGTAGGCATTTTCTGCACAGTTCCATTTTGTTCGAATAACAACCTTGTATGAAGTTTGACTGTTAATGGGCCCATTTTGCAGATGAAAAAAATCTGAAACTCCTGTAGGTATGCTTAGGTCCTTGAACCATGTCTACTTGATCCCAAAGCCCATAATCTCAACTACTGCCCAAAGATAAAGTGGCCGTAGGTCATACAACTAATTAATGGTAAACCTGAAAGTAGGTCTCAGTTTTCTTTGTACCACATCTCACTTATTTCTGAAGAATTTACTTGAATTGCCTGTATTCTTATAAAAGGTGCTCTACAGCATTATTCACTTTGTCATAGCCAAGTAGTGGATCTGAAAGCAAACCTGCTCAATTATAATCAGCTGGCTAAAGTGGACATCTAGGAAGGTTCTTATGAATTCTAAATTTATTTATACCTTAATTAACCCTAATGGCTAAATGCTAAAATCACCCATTTCTAATGCTGAGGACACAGCAAACTATAAATTTCATACATTCTTATGAAATAGATGCCTCGTCCCTTCCAAAGATCTCTGGCAATTTTAAAAAATTAAGACAAAACAAATCATCAATGTATTTGTGACAATGCAGGGATCATATGGGGAGTTCATAAAACCAGATTTGGTTTAGCACTTATAAACAGGTAAATGCTCTCTATTTATTATTCATTGTCAAAGTTATACATTACATGTAAATTCTGTCTTCTGTAAACTTTCAACAGAAGGCTCCATTAAGAATATGAGAGTCTGCAGAAAAGCAGACAAATGCCTGGCAAATGCTTTTTATTTTCTATCTTATTGATCACTCATCATCAGTAGATCCATGGAGAACCCTTTTCAGTTCACAAATTGACTATCTATCTATCAAAATAAAATATGTGTTTGATGAAATTTGATTTGCTGAAAGGTATGGTTAATTGCTACACTAAGTTGTAATATTGATTCCTTGACACAAAAGAAAGTACAAAGGAAGTTTTTTGGAGTGTCTTTGGCTCAACATTTTTTTCTCCTCAATCTCTTGCTTCTTACTTTCTTTCCCTCCTTCTATCTCTGCAAAACTCAGAACTGTGTTTTGTTGTTAGGAAGAAGGGAGGTAAAGGGCAGAAGAATTTCTGCTGGGGTGTAAAACATCATTACTAATACACACAGAATATTCCGTCTCTCAAGGCTCCAACCAGGAACTCCAAGTCATTATTTCTTTGCACAGGTTATTACTTTAAGGAGATCATCATGAATTATATATTTTAAAAGTAACTTATCACCATTGTCATTATCAAAAAATATTTGTAGAGCACACAATGTGTTTGGAACAGTGCCAAAAGCTGTATATTCTTGAAGGCTTTAAACAACACATTCCTTTAAAAAAAAAATGGGAATTCCTCTTTGAACTTCCATTTTCAACCCTCTTGGATTTGGAAGGTGCATTAAAATTATCCTTTATTTCAGGTTTTAATGATATGCTGATTTTCCTATCTCACTTTTATGGAATTTTATGGATTTCAATGTTTTCTCCAACAAGTTATTTTTTAGAACAAGCCCTCTTTTCTCACTCATGCATAAAATGTCCTAACTGTTCACATTTGACTTTAAATATCTTTGTGGGAAGGACACAAATTCATTTAAGAAACCAAACATGTGAAAACTCTGAGTAGTAAATATTTATAAAGATGGTAATGTTCTCTTTCTTGACCTGTGTGGTGGTTACATGGGTGTGTTCACTTTATGATAATTCATCAGAACTGTACACTTGTGATTCCTGCATTTTCCTCTAAGGGTATTTACCTCAATAAAATAACTTTAAAATATGTATTTTTGAAGAATCTTATCCTAGCATCTTCTCCCCAAACATATACAAGCCCACAATTGCCCAAGTTTTTCTCCCCCTCCAAGGACCCTCCCTGCTCACCCTGTAAACTAATTCTTCAACCTGATAAAGTGGTTTTAGAGACCTTAGGCATCAGATATTCTATTCTCTCATGGGCTTTCTGCCCTCTGATTTTTTTTTTTTTTTTTTTTTTTTTTTGGTACTGGGGATTGAACTCAGGAGCACTCGATCACTGAGCCACATCCCCAGCCCTATTCTGTATTTGACTTAGAGGCAGGGTCTCACTGAGTTGTGTAGGGCCTCGCCATTGCTGAGGCTGGCTTTGAACTCACAATCCTCCTGCCTCAGCCTCCCGAGCCCCTGGGATTACATGCGTGCACTACCATGCCCAGTGGGCTTTCTTCACTCTATGGGCCCCTGTCCTCTCTCATAGGTCCTGAACTTCCCTTAATATCTCCAATGAAGTAGAGAATGTTCCTCTCATTTCTTCCTCGCAGCACTATCTCTAGCCACTCTTGCTGCTACCCCACAAATCTCCAAGTGTCCTTTCACAGGTGGCTTTCTCAGACCCCTCTTCACAAAGTACTCTTACAATTTAAAAATGGCTTTGCCTCCTGATTTCTCTCCCTTTCCCCTTTCCTCACCATATTTCTGGAACTTTTGTTTCTGAAACATGGGTCCCATGTTGCTTTGGAACTCCCTGGGAAAGTACTGCTATGAGACATTCTCCCATATACATTTGTTCTTTAAGAATTTTTCTGATAGTGTTGTTATCAAGATCAATTAAGGTGATGTACAGAAAATTCTTCATCCAAACCCAGGCACATAGTAGACACTCATTTAATAGCAATTTTTGATATTGTTAATCGTTGTAGTATAGTTTCATAACAAACACTATTACGCATTTATATAAATAGTCTTATTTAAACCCCTAGCAATCCTATGATATAGATTTGAGATCTCATTCTAAAATGAGGAAACGGAGCTTTTATAGGGAGTTGAACATTTTTGCTGGGTCACTGACCAAGTGGATGCATTTGCTTCTAAATAACCACCTTCTTGCAGGATGCGAATCCTGCCAGATTGTGGCATGGCACTCAACCCCTCAATAAGAAGTCACCACCAGTCCCATTCGGCACTGTGAGAACTCCAGCCAACATCTCAAACCTGGTCCTTGCTCCGAGGAGCTGATAATGGGTAAGTCAACCCTTTTGCAACCTTTGTTCAGCATTCTGTCATTGAGACTTAAGGGTTTGTCAGCTTCAACTGTCTAATTATCTTCTATTCTTTTGTGTTTGTTGCTTTTAGTTTCTCTTCCATTCTCCCAAACCAAGTATCCACTTAGAAAGCTGGAAGTTTCTTCTTAGAAACTTCTCTGTTGCAAGAATCTTCAGAAGCCTGGATTCTGAACAGTCTCGCCTAAAAATTTCTAGAATTAACTTCCTTTCTTCTATGACTGTCGGTGTGCTCTATCAAAGAAGGTAGGTCCAAGATGATCCAATTACTCGAACAACAAAACTATTGAGCCAGATCCAGGGCTCATGTCCCTGGAGTTAGTCGGTGCTATCTCTAGTCTTCAAAAGAGAAACTTCAAATATTCTTTCTTTTTTAAGAAAGGGAAGGTGGCATACGCCCGGTGTTAAGATTTGTAACCCAAATGTACATAGGCAACCCCTGACTATTTTAATAGCAATTAATTTCTAATTACTTAAGTCATTATTGCTATACCTTCCACTTTTGGAGACAGCAACAAATCCCTTGTAGTAGGGCCGGCTTCTTTTTATAGCTTTGAAGAAGCTTAAACTAAAGAAGGATAAAGTTTATCCCATGGAGTCCATCCTTTGTATCAATAGCACTTAGGCTTTGTTGTTAATTGTGACCACCCTTCAGAATGTGGAAAACACGCCAATGGGAAGCTTAGCTTCATGGCAGTTCTGCTTTGGCCTTGGGCTGGACACCCACTTATGCACAGTATGACTCAAACTCCCTTCTTGTAACGCCTTATCTCTAGACACCATTCTCCATGAATCCCTTTCTTTATTCGTAATCATTTCTAATCCTCATGCTCCTCTGTCTGACCTTCTCTTCCCACAAAAATCCAGAAAGTATGCACTTAATAAACAAACAGATCCATTGACAAAGATAGATGTATTCAGGGAAGCTTTACCAAAATTCAACTTCAAACTGGTATTTAATAAAATTCCAGCCAAAATGCTCATTTGTAACTCTAGCCAACTATTTTATTGAAACCAACTTGAAGCCAAACATTTTCTGAATGCCTACAAGGCTACAAAAATAATAAATAATGTTTGGCTCTCTTTCAAACCTTGGAGGATTCAGTCTCGATCACAGAAAGAACAAGAAGACAAGGTAAAAGGAAATAGACCTGAGAAAGGTTATGGCTTGGCTAGTGACCCCCCAACCAGAAATCAAACAGTAGTTCATTTGGAGAGCTTTCAGGCATTCAATACAACTGCTAGGAAATCAGGATACAGAAAAGAAACATTGATTGGGTTCTTATGAGTCCTCTTATATACCAGCACTTTTCCAATTGACTTTTGTAGATTCCCTGCCTTTAAGTTAATTTCCAAAAAAGGGGATGTTTAAGACAACTGAATGTGACAAAATTAGTAAAATTCCAGTATTTATATGTGTTTGAACATTCAAGGACTTGAGATGTTTCAGAATTTAGTCCTGAAGACTAAGGGAGGATTAGAGTTCTAAACAACTTGCCTCAGATGACATAGTGCTCAAGTCCATAAAAAAGAAAAAAACTAAATTGTAAATATAGTTTGTATCAACTGTAGATACCACTGGGTTGTGAGAAAACATAGAAATCATGCAAATTCAGAAGCAAATACAGAGATAGGGACATCTCTTGATACACACCCTAGTATACCCTGATACATCAGTAACTTGAGCAAGGTTAAAAAGTGGATCTGAAAAACTTCTAGAAAAAAAAAAAAACAAGAAAGAAGACACAAGCATAAAAAATACAAGCACAACTTGGATATTTTTTCTAATATCTAGAGGTTAAAAATTTGAATTGTAATATAAAAAGTTTGATTTTAATATAAAAGTAATTGAGTTAACCAAAGCACATGGTAACAAAATTAATTTAGTGTTTATTGAAGATCATGTATCAAATTTTGTACTAGTGGAATGTTTTTACATATATCACACTCAGTTCTTAAAAATCTAATGCACAAGTATTAACACAGCAACTGAGGTTCAAAAAACTAAAACAATTTGTCTTACAGCCCACAGCTAGTAACTGGTAGAACCAGGAATCACAAGTCCACCTCCTTCCAAAGCTCATGTGCTTCACTCCACAGTCAAGCTAACAGCAGGAAGAATAAACCTTCCAAGTTTTCACAAGGTATTCAGATAGTTCTGGCTTTGAAAAAATAACACCAGTCTTCAGAGAAATATTAAAATTGTCACCATCTGAACAGATTCAATGACTAGATAGAAATTTCTTTCTTTATGGCACTCAAATACAAATCTCTGACATCACAAATTCATACATTTCTATGCTCACCAAGAGATCAATAAAAGTATCTTACCAGGAATTTGGTAGTATCCCAAGAATATTTGAAAAAAAAAAATGTATAGACAGTGTTAGAAACAGCTTACCCCTTGATATTCTATTGTTATTATTTTTCCAGTTTATCTGTTCAATGGATATTCTATCACATTAGCATAGCTTTGTTATCAAAACTGCTTTGTATCAATGTCTTCCTTTTTTTTTCTTAAACACCCATAATAGCAACCTACCAAGACAGTAGACAAGATAGCAAAGTATGCCCCTGTCCTTCCCTCAGCAGTGTGGACATGACATGTGGGTATGGATTCACGCCTGCTGTCTCATCTTCTTCACCAACAACTAATACAGAATTTCGATTTCCATTCGCAATCTCCTTTTTCTAATGCTTTCCAGTGAAAGAAATAACTACATCTCTATTCATGCCTCCTCTTTCTTTTTTATTGGAACATTATAATTTTGCAAAGCAGTTGGGTTCATTTTGACAAAACACACATGCATGAAATTTGATTTCAGTCTCTATTCTCCTCCTCTCTTCCCTCTTCCCTCCCACTATTCTCCTTCCTCTAATCTACTGATCTTCCTTTCACTTATTTATTTATTTTTGATGGGTTATTTCTACTTATACATAAAGATGAAATTTCCTGTGGCATATTTTTTATGCACATAAAGTGATTTTGTTAAATTCATTCTGAATTTCCTCCCCTTTCTTTTTCCTCCTCTTTCCCTCTCAATCTCCTTCTACTCAACTATCTTCCCTATGTCTGTATGATACCCAACACCCCTGCTCCTCTTTTCCCCTTACTTCACTCTAGCCTCCACATATGAGAGAAAACATTTTTGACCCCTGGTTTTCTGATTCTTGCTTATTTCACTTAGCATGATACTCTCTAGTCCATCCATTTACTGGCAAATGCCATAATTTCATTTTTCTTTATGGTTTAGTAATATATATTTACATTATTTAGTAATATATATATAATATTTTCCTAATTCATTTATGTATTGACTGATTCCATAATTTGGTTATTGTGCATTGTGCTGCTATTTACACTAAGGTGTCTTTATCACTATATAGCATTCTGATTTTAGTTCTTTTAGATAAACACCAAGGAGTGGGATAGCTAGGTCCAATGGTGCTTTCATTGCTAGTTTTTTGAGGAATCTTCATGCTGCTTTACAGACACTTTTCAATGCTCAGCTTTTTAGAGAGAAAGGAAAATCAAATTTGATGCTAAAAGAAAAGGAAAAAACAATATTATTTATGTTGCTTTGAAATTGGGTCTGATTTATCCTACAAACTTAAAAGAAAAAAACGGGCCTTTGGTTTTTGTTGTTGTTGTTGTTGTTTGTTTGTTTGTTTTTTAATTAGGATAGAATCTTCTGCTTATTTTTGATCCTGAGTGATTTGATTTCTAAAAGTAAGCTTAAGCTATGTTTTAACTATAAATCTGAAACTATATTTTAACTCCTCACTGTGGTCTCTGAGATTATGCTTTTACTTAGGAGTTCACATGAAGAACAAGATTACATTTACTTATTCTTCCTCAATTATTTTATAACTTTATATTTAACTGAACTTTTTTCATGGTGTCATTTTTCTAGCTCGGCAAATTTTCATTATCCTCATTCTGTCAAGTTTTGGTTATTTAAGGACAAGTTATGAGCTAGAGTCTTTAATTCTTTGTCTCGGCAAACATTTGATTTAGTTCAACAAATTTTTATTGAGCACTTATTAAGTATCAGATGCTATACTCAGAATTATATAGGTGAGAATATGAAGATAAATAAGCATGGTCCCTACATATAGAAGTTCACAGTCTAATCAAAGCAACAACATGTGAGAAGACATCATTGTGTATATCAAATGCCAAAATGGATAGACTACAAATTGAATGGGATTCCCAAGAAAGGAGACAGGAAAAAGGAGACACTGTCTGCTACTTTTCAATGTGTGTCCATCACACAGGTGTACATGTGTGTTATGGGAAGGAAAGGGGAAGATGAAACCATGCCAAGTATAAACAAAGGCATGATACAGATCACAGGATTCTTGGAACTCCAAAGAATTTGTTTTGGCTGGAGTCTACAACATAGGAGAAGAAATGGTCTGGTTTGAAATCAAGCTAGAAAGAAAGGCAGGGGAGAATCCCCACTGAAGTGCGAATCCCAGCCCCCAAACCAGACCTACTCAATCAAAACAAGGAAATGGGTCCTGAGGATCTGTATTTGTATCAAGTCCCTCTGCTGCTTCTTATGTTTACTGAAGTTGAGCAACCTGAGGCAGATGGTGGAGAACCTCTGAAGGAATTTCGTCTTCCTTTCATGATCATTATTCCTACCATTAATCAGCCCCACCCACCGGATTTAAGGAGCTGAGGCTCAGGGTCCAATCTCACTTAGCCATAATAAAGCAGCACAGGCAAAAGGGGTGAATGTGGAAGCTACAGTCTATAAAAGGTAAGGGGCCAGACCTCCATTGTCGCACCTGCCCATTTGGTGAGTATATAGTCATTACTTCTCTTTTTGCTTATGTTAATGCTAGTTTTCTTGCCTGAGGAAGTGTCTTAGAGGGTTTGGCTTTGGTATTTCCAAATTCTTTATAAAGCTTGGGTAAAAAATGGCTTTTCAGTGATCAGTTTTACAATTCACCTGTACTCCTGCTTGATTATGTTTCTTATTATGTAATGATCAGAGCAGATCCTTTCTAAATACAAAGATGATACTTTTATGACATAACATGCAATGGTGCTTATGCCAGAAATCTGTGAAAATAAGTTTTAATTCAGCAAGAGAAGTAATAGCTTGGTAATGTCTCATCAAGAAAAATGCAGGAAGACATTTGAGATGTCAGTGTCCGTTCATCGCCTGGGATACTTAGTGAATGAAGCCATTTTTCTACATAAGGTGTCCATGTCCCTCTGCTCACATGATTTT